GGTGGGGGGGGCATTGCTCTTTGCTGCTAGTAGTCTGTTCCCTTCTTACAGTACATCACTTTAAAAAGGATATTAATGCATTATGTTGCTTCTTTAAAAGGTCGTCCGAATGGCACGAAGAAATATTTGTCTGCCGCTCGCTGATGATAACCACCCATGAAAATCAAAACAAACCGAATCAAGACTTTATGGACGGGAGGCAAATTTGTCTGCGAGAGGCCCGCTATGCATACCGAAAAGGTCGACGCGGGAGTGAAGATTTTGATTGAAAAACTCTTCCTTCTTCTCTTTTATCCTTTACCCAGTCCTTCAAATTCATCCATCCACTTTCTAATCCGCTTTTCCTCGCGAGCATTCTTTCCAGCCGAACGCCACTTGTCGTTTCTGCGAAAATGTTCACCATTTATTCTGTAGCGGTTGAAAATTATAACAGGAGGGGAATATAATGCGAGTCGGGTAGTCAGGGCTAAATGCCGGCTGAATTTTCAAGCGCTCCCATCATTAGAAAAACCCGGCACCCTTGCTGAGATTGATATCAAAGAGCCACCGTCACCGCTGCTACTTTGCCAGCTTCCCCGCTGCGCCGACATGTCTGGCAGCGAGCGCCACGCGGGGCCACTGGCTGCAGACAAAGAAGACGGGTCAGCCGGGGGAAACGGATTGTGGGGAATTTGAGCAGCTGTGTACAGTCCGTGTGTGAGCTAACTCCAGAGGAGCCAAGCGCAGTCTGCGGGCGCGTTCAATCAAGCGCTGGATGGAAATGAGACGAAAGAGCGGCCGGGGCTGTATTGAGTGGGACGGGTTCAAGCGATGACTCACTGTCCTCCGAAGAGTTGCATGCCCAGCAGAGCGAAGACGACGATGAACAGGAAGAGGAGGAACAGCAAACTGATGATGGACTTCATGGAATTCAGAAGGGAGACCACGAGGTTCCTCAGGGAATTCCAATACCTTCGAAGTGACAGAGCAAGGACAAAAAAATGACCAAACAAAGCTGGACCTTCAAAAGAGAACAACGCAGGCTTGGCAGAGTGGGAAGCTTTTGCTAAATGTGTCAGTTATGTTATTCTCGGCCTAAAAAGCAAAGTTTTTCTGAAGATATCCAACCTCAAAGTCATCGTATCGCCGCCGAGAGAAACTCACTTTGTGACTTTGAAGATTCTTAGTAGTCTCAGTGCTCTCAGGACACTGATGCCGAACGACGCTCCGGGTTTGATCATGTCCCAGATCACCTCAAAAATACTTCCCACGATCACCTGGACATTAGAGAAGAGGGAATGGGCCCTCGGTTCAGTGCTCCTCGATTTCAGCGAGTGGCTTTGAATAGAAGTGCCGGCTCCCTTAAGACCTTCTCATCGATCTGCGCCGGCGTTAGAAAAACAGCATCAATTTACCCCAAAATCAAAGCAGTTAAAGGAGGAGTGGAAATAATTCCTCGGTCCGAGGCCGTACATCTTCAAGGTCATCTCCGTGAGAAACAAACCCAGGAACACAAACTCCGCCGTATCTGTTGCAAACAACACAGCAAAATCAATAAAATGAGCTTAAAAAGTCCGACGAATGGACACGAGCTTTCATTTTGAGTCCAAAGTGTATCGGGGGTGACTTACACAGGGCCGTCGTCAGCCACGCGGGTTGATCGTAGTGGACGATGGCCACGCACAGAGTGTTCAGGCCGACCAGACACAGAACGATCCAGTAGAAGCTTTGCGCTTTGACCATCCGCCGGATAAAGAAACGAATCCTCTTCTCCTTACGCCGAAAGTATGACGAGCTGTCCATCTTGGTGCTACTTTTGACACTCGCCCGACCAAAAGGGGAGCCGGGAGGAGCTGAGCAACGTGACACCAAAGAGTTAACGCGGTCCTTCCCACTTTTGCGTTCGACTTGTGACTTTCAAAAGCGACCAGAAGTACTTTGTTTTTATTCCCGACGGTTTCCTCCGACTATGTTGGCGAGTGCTTGATATTTTGGCCATCCACTTTGTTTGCTCTCGTTTGCAAAAAAAAAAAAAAAAAATGGATATTTGTGAGCCCGAGGCAGGATAACAAACATTTGGTAGAATGTTCAAAATTTCAAAATAAAACATTGAAATCGAGCACTTTGGAAAGCGTGGCTTGATGAGAGACCTCATTTTAATATTCAATGCTTCATGCGCTCTGCAGCAAGCATTTTAATCGTGACGGCAACTAAAATCATTTTGACCATCGTGTTTTTACCCGCTTGCTAGCCACGGACAACAAATGACACATTCTCTTTGTTTGTTTCCAAATTCATATTCTAATATGCTGCAGGTGATCGCCTACTCCAGAAAGTATTTTAATCAAACAGTCTAATTAAAAAAAGGTAATTAGACTTTACCTTTTTTAAGGTGGATATTTAGCCATGTTTTATCGTTTTGACGTGACATGCCGTCCGTCCTAACCCGAGATCTGAGCCAGCAGCCGGCATGGCTACATGTATGGTGTTACCGGATCCAGATGGTGTTGAAGCGCTTGTGTGACGCTCACAGCTTTGGCAAGGTGGATATTTAGCCATGTTTTATCGTTTTGACGTGACATGCCGTCCGTCCTAACCCGAGATCTGAGTCAGCAGCCGGCATGGCTACATTTATTGTCATAGGGCGGGCTTTTACGCTGGCTTTTATTCGAAAGGTCAGCTCTGGGAGGAGACGGCATGTGAAGGTCAAAGGTGAGCCGCCGGCGGACAAAAAAAGAACATCAGGCTTACCGACGGAGGAGATGTCAGCGAATGAATCTTCCCCTTCTTCAGCGCCAATCAGGTCATTTTTACCCTTCTTGTTTTTGCTTCGTTTCAGGACTGGAGAGAGACACACAGAACAACAGGAGGAGGAAAATAATCCGAAGATATGAGTTTTCTGTCCAAAAACAATATATCGGACACCTTGGCGCAGTTGAGTGAGTGCGTGCGTGTGCATGTGTGGAAGAAAATTCATTAAAAGTTGAAGTTAATATGGGCAACTTTGATTAGAAGGCATCAATCTTGTTTTAATGTTCTGCCTTCCTGTTGCTGGTTTGAAATGGATTTTAATTGGCACGTGCCCCCCTTCCCCAGCCCCCCACCACACGTTATCACGGGAGGTTGTATTTTTTCCGTCTAATAAACACCTGATGCTGCACATCAAAACGTTGAGTTTGCCGCTGGATCCAAGTGATTAACTTGCAAAGTATTCCAGGAAGTGGTGAGGCTCCAAATGGCAATAATACACACACACACACACACACTAATAACGAATGATGTGTCGGGGGAATCATTTTCAAGCAAAGCACACAAACGTTATGCACCACTTTGATTTGCACTTAATATTTCTGAGAGCGATGGGGGGTGTGGGGGTGGTGCCTTAAAACACACCAAGGAAATGAAAAGTACAATTCCTATAAATCAATAAATCATTTCTTTATTTATACAGGAGCTTTCGGACTTCAAAAGCAACACAAGATGCTGCGCAAAACAGGGAATCAAAGACAATGAAAACTCATGGCTGCAGAGGCGGAGCCACCCCGCCCCCTGAGTCTCAACCACAAGCAAAAGACTGAGACCGCCACCACCAACAAACATCGACGAGATGTGCCCGCACCTACACCGAAGAAGCCAACAGGACCGCATCACGTGCAAAAGATGCAATACTGACTCCATCAAATTAGACCCCCCCTCTCAATGCCTAGAAATTCTCTCCAAGAAAGGTTGTGAACAGAGTCCCGCCCTCAGTGGAAATTTTATTGAAACTGTTCTGCCGGCGTCTACCAGCAGGTTTGGGATCGTTGCCACGACAGGCACTGACCACCTTCCAGCCACAGCTCCCATCGGCTGCCTCAACAATGGAGGTGCGGAATATGAGCCCGCCCGCCCGCCTCTTCCGAGATGTGGGCGAAGTTCTGAATGCTCCTGTACTTCAAAAAAAACATGATGATGGCCTCGTCATTACACTGCGGAAAGCAGCCATCCGCTTTTCGGATCATCAAGGTAATAGTCAATTTGAAAGTGCACATACTGCAGGTCGTTTTGACATCTTCAGGCAACCGAAAGGGGCCCTCGTCATTCTCGCGTTCCCCGATTCCACGCCAAAACAAGAATCAGCCGCTACCTTGCTGACGTTGCGGCCAGATCGAGACGTGCTTGCCACGCACCGCACATCTGGAACTCCGTTCATCTTGACCAACTATTAACCCTTTCATCACCAATAATAGAAACATGTTCAATCGCACCTCTTACAATTTCTGATCATGTCGTCAAATCATTACAAAGTCGTATCACTAAATTATAATATTGAATGACTCAATTCAGGGATGAGATGTGCTTCCTGCGTGTTTCATGACTCTTGGAGCAGAAATTTGAATACTCATGTATGTAACTCTAGGCTACGGTCTGAATGTCAAACCAAAATGGGCCGAAACATTTTTTGGGGGGTCCCAGAAACAAAATGTTCCTTGTAATTTTGGTGTGAAAGCAAGTTTTTGTGATTTTTTTTTTTGTAGTGCTGCTGTCACCTGGCAGATTTTGTTTCCTCTTGTACCACGCGCCATCCAGAGGTGACTTCTCTTCTGCAATCTCCTCCTCCTCCTCCAGCAACACCTCCTCTGCCGAAGGAGCAAAAGTGACCTTTTCATTATTCGGGGGGGGGGGGATTGAATCATTAGCACAGGTTGAGGGATGCTGCCAACCGGCTTTGCAGATCCATTCCAGGTATCCCGTGAGCTCTCTCTCAATTTGTTGCTGCCTTCGAAGCTTCAGGAACTCCTGCCTCTTCTCCACACGCTCTCTCTCTTTGGCAAACTCTCTGTGGTATTGACAGTCACAAAGGGGAAACACATTTAGTATTTGAGATCTCTTCGTTTGTTCACTTTACAAAGTATGATGATGAAAGTCATAAATTCAGCCATGTTGGAATAGTGCCCGAGCCTTGACTTGGGGATTTCTATTTTTCTTTCCTATGAGGGATGAGTTGGACGCAGCCTAAGAGGGAGAAATTTGGCCACGTGTCCAATTTTGAATTTTCAGTTTTCAGCATGGGCGGAGCCCAAGTGATATTTTTAAATCCCAAATCACTGGTGTCACCCGTGGATTATGCGACATCGACATGATTCAAAAAAGCAATCTTCAATGTAAAAGTATATCATGTGGTACTTTGGCAGCAATTAAAAAAATAACTAAAAAGTTAAAAACTAATTCTGGTTCGAGAGCATTCTCCATTCAGGCACCAGAACTCGAAAATTTGATGTTTCTTAATTATTTGCCAAAGTCGTTGATGCAAAACCCACTTTTTTTTTTTCTTTCCTTTTCAGTGCCGTGAAAAGACTTACCCGGATAGGACACCAAGCACCAAGTTGAGCATGAAGAAAGAGCCAATGATGATGAGAGGGATGAAGTAGAGCCAATTCCAGGTGTTTCCTGCCACATCGTTGGTCTGCACAGACGAGCAAATAATTCGGAGGAATTTGTGAAGTGGTCTTCTTCAGTCGTGTTCAGGCGCATCGCTTGGGCCTTAGAAATAACAAAGGCCTCAGAAGCCCCTTGAACATCATTTCTTGTGTGCCAGTCCATCCACCCAGCGCAGATTTTTATTCTGCTGAACAATGTCAACATAAGCTGTCAAATCAATGATTCATTTTTTTCCCCTCACATGTGCTACATTTTTTTTGCCCCCAAAGATTGTCGTTCGATACGTTTCACTTTCCTCACCCTTTAAATCAAAGATGTCCAAACTATGGCCTGGGGGCCATCTGCGTCCCGCCATCCATTTTTCAGCGGCCCGCAAAATGACCAAAAAAATATATCACACTTAAAATGATATTTGACAGGGGCCGCAAGGTTAGAGTAAAAAAAAAAAAGGGGAAGGTGGGCAGAGTGAGAAGGCATCAAGGAAGGACAGACGTCGCTTCATTCTGTCCGTCCCATCTGAACATCGAGTGAGCCAGTCTTCTGTTCCAATCAGCCTCTGGCATCAACATCTGTGATTTTGTCAGCATCTAATTGGTGCGTGCGCGTGCATGCACGCATCTGTGCAGACGTCCCCATTTGCCGCAACGCCTTTCAACGTCTGCGTCATTATTTTTATGCCTTCTGCTGAAGTGTCAGGAAAAAAAAAAAAGCTTTGTAATCGACTCGCCAATGTGCACCATTGCCCCGCCCGCGTTCAGGCCGTACGACCCTTCACTAACAAGCGTCGCCTATTCTGGAGAGAAAATCAAAACCGAGAGGACAGAATCAATGCCCCCGTTTTACTGAGCGGTGTACAAAAGAGAAAAAAAGAAGGCGAGGAAAAACAAAAGGGCAAAAGTTACATCTGTGTCATTTCAACGGATTTGGTCTAATGAGCCGAGTCTCCTTTTAAGTGAAGGGGCTGCGAAGTCTCCATACACACTGTGCGACCGACCAAGAGGAACATACGAAGCATTTGGCAAAAGAGCCCACCGGCGACACTCGCGCAGTTCATTACCAAACTGCTCATGCGCTACGTTGCCTCGGGCGTGCTACTTCAAATGACCCCGTATGTTGTTCAAGCACAAGGCCAAGACAGAAGTCAACATTTCCTGGAGATATTTTGTGAAAGCAAGAAAACAAACGAGCACAGCGGTAATACGTACACGGTTTCGATGTCAATTGTGACCGCGACCATTCAGGGTCCCTCGGGGGGGGCTTCATTTGAGAGTCATGTCAAGGTTTGAAAGAAGATAATGGACATTTTTTTTTGGGGGGGGGTCACTGGCCTCTGGGCTAACTCTATTACATAAATAAGTGAATTATGCAAAGATGACATCATTACCCTGGACAGTAATCAGGTCTGTTTTGGATATGACTTTTCGGAGCGTTTGAAAAACTCATCCATCCACCGACCGTATCTAATTGCGATACGGCTCGTTCTCATTCCGGTGATTTGGGATGAGGTTTAGTCTGGGGGGCGTCTACCGCCGATATGAACTCACTCAATTACATCGCCGACGTGTCCTTTATGTCAGCTAAGAGTCAAATTCGAAACGCGTTTTTCTCTTGTCAAAAGGCGCCGTTGAATATTGAGGCAGACCCATCTTTGAACACGACGCGGCAAAGGTAATTTGAGGCGCCTCTAATTGTTACGGCAGCCGCTGGATGGTAAGAGAAAGTCATAAAATTACAAGGCGTGAAATGAAGATTGGCACATTATCTGCAAGGACTCTGTCGCAAAAAGAGGGCCAATTTGAACGCTTCGTGGTTGAAAGCGACAGCATCCGCAGAGATCGTTTGTGCGGCTTTGGCGGCTCAGCGTCATTTTGCCGAACGGGGGCACAAATGAAGAGATGATGCCAAGACGGCACTTGTCGCGCGCCCCTTTCGGTTCATCAGCGGGTTTGAGTCTCGCGAGGGGAACCCGCGTCAATAAAAATTGCTTGCGGATCGCTAATGCGCGTTAACTCGGTGAAAGGCGGAGGCAAGAAGCCTCAGGCCCGACACGGCACATGGAGACAATATCAAAGTGCCATGACGGGTGATGCTTCAACCGAGCGACTGCTCCACAACAGTCACTCGATAACACGAGATTGCTGCCGTCGCACGGGAAGCGATTTGGGAACGAAAGCGAGATTAGAATGCGGCCGGTTTCATTTAAGCCCATTTGCATGTAACATTATCAAAGTTGAGTCGATTTAAGAGGCACAACTAAACTGTCAAGCAACCCCCCCACCAAAAAAAAAGTCAATGGGTTTTCAATGTGCAAATCTTAACTCGCTAATTAAAGCATTGAAAAGAATGAAAAAATGCAAATTTGGTGAGAGTACACGATGTCATCTGGAATCTACACAGCAAATACGTCGACCGCCGGAGCGGAAATGATAAATGGATTATTCCTTCAAATGCCGGATTTTATAATTTACATATTGGGAAACCTGGAGATGTATTAAAGCAGAGGCAAATTATAAAAATATGCAGGAAAAAAAATGTCTTGACAGTTTAGGAAGGATACGAGGTAATCTGCGATAAATCCCCCCGCGGAAAGGAAAAAGGATGAAATATTTCTCCGAAGCAGGAAGAATGAAATAGTACGAATAAAAAGGCAAACGTATCAAGTGAAAGCAAATGCTGTCCTCGATGAAACCGGCGAGAGTTTGCAAGCGCTTAACATAATGAGCCTGCAAAAGCTGCAGGAGATGTTTGGAGTGAAATGAATGGCGCAGGAAGGAAATGGAAAGATGACTCACGATGTGGCTCACAATGTGTCGCAGGGGGGAGGAAAAAAAATCAGGCGCAGGGAAAACAGGGGCTGTGAATGTGTTCAACTAATAATAATAATAATAATAATAATAATAATAATAATAATAATACAGTCAAACCTCTTTTCAGTGTACCCCTGTAACGTTCACATTTCAAAGTCCCAATTTCACCGAAGCAAATCTGGCCGTCTGTATTTATCCTTATATAATTGTCTATTCCACAATAACAAAACAAAAAAATCATTGTATGCCTTTTTCAAAAAGCTCTCAAAAAACATTTGAAAGGTTGAATGAAGCAAAATTGCTTTCGAAGGATATTTGAGCATGCGGACTGAGCTTATAAGGGCACCATGCTAGAAATGAGTCCAGGCGCTACGTATTGCGCGAGTACAATTTCGGGCTAAATACGGGCGGGAACAGGGAGCGCGTCGACTTACGCTGTAGAGGATGTCGACCCAGCCCTCCATGGTGATGCACTGGAACACCGTAAGCACGGCAAATAGGATGTTGTCGAAGTTGGTAATGCCGAAATTGGGTCCGGTCCAGTATTCTCTGCACTGGGTCCCATTGGGACACAACCTGGCAGGGGGCTCCAGACCGCAAGGCCACTCTGCGGCTTTTTCACCTGAAGGGAAAAAAAAAGCCAAGGAAAACATGTCAGCGATGGCTTCTTTTGCGGCCCTTCGGCTACTTCACAGATGGAGAAAGTCGGGTTGAAAACGGAGCGGCTTCCCGCGATCTGCGCACCATCCGTTATCATCATTTAAGCCCTCGAAAGGCATTCATCCCCGGTAAGTGCTCGGCCCACTTCAACTGATTTCTCTTCGTGAACACCATTGACCCCGCTCACCCCGTCATTCGGCGTGGCGCTGCGGCCTCATTCCGGCCATCCCGACAGAGCGCGCGGCCGCGGGTGGAAGGCCCGCGCAACGATCCGCCGCCGGATTTAAACGTTTGCCTGCGGCGCGGATCACTTTCCGGCATACCGCGGCATCGACTGGACACATTTAAGCCTTTGACACCCACGTTGATCAGATTATTAATACCCTAGTTGAAAGAAATATATCCTATAATGTGTTGCTGCTCCACTTGCAGCTTGCAGCTGAACTGTTGTCAAGTTTCCGACCCGCAGGTTCAAGTTTGAATTGCACAGGACTGCGCGGAAGATGCTGAGAGACGATTTTTACGGTGGCGCGGGCGCACGTCAAATAGTCCGCGATGAAGAATGAATGTGCTGAGTCTGGCAGATGCTTTCGAGGCCAACGTTTCTTTCCTCGATCAAGTTTTAACAATGACGTGCGGAGCCACTCTGCACGGCCAACCTGCCTCTCCTGCCACTCCTGGAAGAGGGCCCCCCTTTGCTACCCACTGACAGATGCTGCGTCAGCCAGACTCAGTGCCCGAGTACGACGCCGCAACATCTAAAGGTCCCTATTTGCAATTTGAACAATTAGATGTTATCAAAGATGACACTCGGAATCAATTCCGGCCAGAAAAATGATCTCCTGGATCTTCTACAGAGCAGATGTTCCGTAGCCCCATCTCCCTCTCAACAAGTCTTTCTCCTGCGCTACGTCCACTGATCGGGTATCTCCGAGGTTGTCTCCATGGCAACAAGTTCACGTCATCAGACAACAGAGACAATGCGTTTTGGGAGGCACAGACATATGCGCAGAGAACGCAAACACACAACGCCCATCGACGCTTTTTGTGGGCCGCTCCCGAGCCCCCTCCCCGCCTTCATTGCGATGCAGTTGCGCCGAGGAACACGTGGAGCGCCTATTCAAGGCTGCCAGTGCCTGCTCAGTTTGTCTCTCCCCACCTTATACTCGCTCCTGCCTCCCACAAGTTTTTCCATCTTTTATGATGTCGCAATGTGCTGCAGATTTCTTCAGATTCCAGATGGAGCGCAATTTTTTTTGTTTTCAGTTTCATCTCCGAAATTGGGTGCTCTTCCTACGTTTTTAAAGGACCTAACATATTTATTGCACAGAAGCCTTAAGCAGGCGGGCCTTCATTAGCAGCTACGGGTGCTGACCGGGGGCTGCAGGCTGTTGTTCATTACGATTCTATATCTGGCTCGCGTTCGCTGATAAATTCCGGTGCTCAGCACAGGATGCTGCTGGTACAGCTGGTAGAAACCACGGCCGGCGGACACGGCGTACCAACTACGGGGAGGTGTGTTTCGCTGTGAACGGCATTTCGGACTCTGCATCTATGCCACTGCTTCTGTGCCTGTGATCCGCTCGTGGATGTTACCGCCGTCGTATCGACTCGGTCTCTTTTGCTCACCCTCAAATAATTCAGTCACACACAGCAGCAGCAACTCACAACCAGCAATCTTGTGTTTTTGAGCAGAGAATAATGGATTCTGATTTGAATTTCGGGTTGCAGTCCTTTGAAATATTAATCTGCATTTATTACCCACACTATATTGAAACAAGACATGCAAAGTTCATTTCCGCTCGCAAAGGTGCTGACCTAAGACCGGGAATCTGTCCCCGGGCTGGATGCAGTTGTGGCCCACTCCTGCTCAGGGACGGTTTCATTTTACACACAACACATTTCGCTCTACGTGTGGAGTTCTTTCACCTTCGCTTGTAGACAAGACTCATGAGGGAAAAAAAACCTCAATTTCCTAGAATTAAAATATACATTTACAATGTCAGTTTGTTAAAGCCGACCATTGTACACACTCAATCTACGATACGTGATTTGACTAAAAAGAGCTGCTGTGCACACACAAACAATAAAAGAAAGCGCTCGATGCGCACTCGCGAGATGCAGTGTCAGGTTTCAGTGCGGCTGTAATCAGGGGTGCACATTTCTGATGCGGGAGAGAAATGGATCGAGTGCAACCGCCTGAGGTGGAGTTCTATCATGAGTCTCAGCAGAAGCGATCAGTCAACGGCTGAATAATATAGTGTCATATATCAAAATCAACTTGTGACAAAAAGCTGTCAGAAATGATGCTCGGTGCCTGTTGATGTTTCACATAAGCATATTCTGTTGGAGCACCTGCAGAGTCAGTCACCTGTACCTCGAGATGCTTAGAACTATTTTTTTTTTCTGTAAATATTTGATAGCATGTATTGTAGAGAGGAAAAAAAAAAACTCAATCAACGTCCTGTAAAAAAACCCCCACGGCGGTTTTTCCTCACCGGTGTCGATGTTGAAGCAGGTGGTGTGGAATTTGCCCATGTAAAACTCCACCCCGATGATTGCAAACATGACAATGGCGAAGAAAAGCAGCAGGCCGATCTGAAGCAGCGGCACCATGGCTTTCATGATGGACTTCAGCACGACTTGGAGACCTGGAGAAAACAAAAGCCATCCTCGCTTGAAAAGCGCACTGCCGCACAGCTGCAAGTTCGTTCGGCACGTTACAATTTTCCGCGATATTGGGACACCTGCCCAAGATGCAGACAAGTACTGAATTTGGGAGATAGAATGGAGCTCACCCCTTTACGGCTGTAACAATATTTAGCAGGAAAGTTTGCCGTCATCTGTGCTCAAATCAAAACAGCCTTTCTGAAGCCTGTAAAAATATTTCAAGAATGACTTACTGGGAATTCCGGACACCAGTTTGAGGGGTCGCAGCACTCTCACAGCCCGCAGCGTTCGCAGGTCAAAGTCGGAGCCCACTTTGGCCAGGATTCTGTGCATGGGGACAGCCAAATGACATTTGTATTTTTTTTTTCGAATCGAGTCCCATCACGAATACTGGACATCAAGGTCCTCATCCATCAGTACGAGTATATGCATTTATATCCCTACGCTGCATTTGTGGAATACCTGAAACTGAACTGAAAATCATTTATGCCACCAATTATAATGGATAAAATATCCAAGACATCAATTATGTGCACCTTTTGTTGGGGGGAAAAAAAAATACTGACCTCTGCTATTGATGAGGTCATATTAAAATCCAAGAGAGAAATAAATGTTGCTTTTAAACACGAAGGTCCTGTGACCTGAACAGGAATGCAGGAATGAAAAGTGGACATTGTCGATAAATCAAGAACCCCCCCCCCCCATTGCGCTCTTATGACTTGCAAAATCAATAACTCACTTAGCCCTGTTAAGTGCATGTGTGTATGTCTACAATGTTAGCATGCGTGTGTGCGTGCGTGTGCGTGTGTGTGTGTGCACACGTCTGATTTGATGGCTGTGTAGACAGACAGTCTGAGCAAGGCTTTGTCTGAAGGAGCTACAGTATATGACTTTTAATATTCCTTTATCATCACTGCAATATGTCCATGCGGGTGCCAGACAGCAGCACCGGAAATATGCCGTGTGATTGTATTGTCTATCTAGCTATAAGTGTGTGTGCGTGCGTGCGTATGTACTCGTGTGTGCACATCCATGCTGTGGATGCAAGTGAAAGGCGTGTATTCTTGTGCGGCTGTGTGTGCGTGTATGTTACGGGAGGAATTTTTGACAGATTTCCCCAAAGTAGTGCAACATGTAGTACAAAAATTAAACACATAAGATGTTTTTTTTTTCTCTCTCTCTTCACACGGCTTTGTGAAGACAAAGCGTAACACGCTGCAGAAAATCGGCCTCATCATTAGACAAGAGTCATTTCATGCCAATTAGACCTCCAATCTTGTAAAAGGAAACGAGCAAACTAATCATCAGTTCAGTATGTCACATCCTGTTTGTGATGGGGTGCGCCTGTGTGCGCGCACGAGTTTGCTTGAGTGCGCATGTGTGTGTGTGTGTGTGTGTGTGTGTTGTGGCCCTGTCTTAATGTGATCCAAGCAGACAGCTGTGACAGAGGCAGGAGAGGCCACAATGCACATGAGGATGGTGGAAGTGGGTACACATGAAGTCATTGTAGGTGCCAGAGTCGCTCGCCGTCAAACGCGGCTGCTGCTGTACGGCCACGATTCAAAATGGACACACCCTGCCTGGCGGATATGCACCCGGCCGTGATTATCAGGCCCCGCTGTTACATACATAACACAGCCAGTTCACAAAAAAAAAAAAAATGTTTTCAGAAAGCGGGAGCTCACAAAAAAATAAAATAAAAAAAGCAATTAAAAATTTCATACTAGATGAAAGGAACTCAGATGATTAATTTTCCATCCTAATCTCAGTGCCATTGAACGAATGGTTCATGTCCAGTGAACACTTTTCCTGTTATACTAATAAAATACAATACATGTTACTCCAGGTATACTACACACCCCTCAGTAATGAAGTAAAAACAGTCCAATGACGAAAGTAGGAAAAGTTCTGCGTGAGCTGAGAGGGGACAAAGTCTGGAAACGTGTGTATGTTGTGTTTGGAGAAGATGTCAAACCTCATAAGGAAGAGGGAGAAACTTGACGGATGATGCGTACGCAGCATTCAGGAATTGTTTCTCATTACGAGTTATAATGATGCTCGGGGAAAATGTGCTTTGGCGCATTCATTTTTCCAAATGAATTTCAGCTGTATGGTTCATACGAGGTCACATGCTCCGTATGCAAATGAAAGTCAATGCGGAATAATTGTCGTGCTAGACATTGTAGATAGCACAAAGGCAGCACCTTTTTAAAATGATTTGGTTTAATAATCATAATCGTGTATCCGTCCATTTCGTGCCCAGTACAAGTCTGGCACGAGGCGCGGTGTGAATCTATGCAGGGGTGTAATCGACTACGTTTTGGTATTTTTACAGAGCCACGCAAGTGGGCGCCGCGTGGCACATTTCATTCTTTCAATGCCAGCCACCAATGACGAAAGTAGGAAAAGTTCTGCGTGAGCTGAGAGGGGACAAAGTCTGGAAACGTGTGTATGTTGTGTTTGGAGAAGATGTCAAACCTCATAAGGAAGAGGGAGAAACTTGACGGATGATGCGTACGCAGCATTCAGGAATTGTTTCTCATTACGAGTTATAATGATGCTCGGGGAAAATGTGCTTTGGCGCATTCATTTTTCCAAATGAATTTCAGCTGTATTGTTCATACGAGGTCACATGCTCCGTATGCAAATGAAAGTCAATGCGGAATAATTGTCGTGCTAGACATTGTAGATAGCACAAAGGCAGCACCTTTTTAAAATGATTTGGTTTAATAATCATAATTGTCCGTCCATTTCGTGCCCAGAACAAGTCTGGCACGAGGCGCGGTGTGAATCTATGCAGGGGTGCAATCGACTTTTGGTATTTTTACAGAGCCACGCAAGTGGGCACCGCGTGGCACGTTTCATTCTTTCACGAAATGTTTTACATCCGATCAGTTTTTGCTTGCCTGGGGAGTCATCACATGCAATTGAAGCGGTAGTTTTTAATAAAATACTCGATATACTGTCGGTCCGACACGTTACTATCCAAGCGAAGCCATAATGCAGAAACAAGATTCGAGATCAGCATATATCGTGAGACAAATACTCCCTTGTACTCCCCTTGTTTTATTTTGAAAGGAACGTACTTTTTCATCCAAATGGACCACTTTCACTTTTAAGTGGTTTAAAAGGCGAATGAACAGTACGCTGGTCATGCAGCTAGAAACCTGATTAAGCTACATCGTGCACCACAAAAAATAATTTATAAAATAAAATAAACTACCTGTAGAGTATTTATTCATCGGTGCCACGGAAATTCCAGACAACTAGGAGCGGTTGACTCATGCAGGACACACAATAAGTGACTGACAGCAGAGAGAATTTTTTTTTTTTTGTAATTCTATCGTAAACAAAAAGCAGCAATTGTACTCTGCACAACGGAGTTTTTTCAAGACTAAGACTGTATTTTGGAAATTGACGGAGCAATGTTGCATTTGGTCTCCATTGTGGGGATGCAAACATCGAATTTTGTCGATTGTCTCTGATGCATTTCTCGTCTTCTCTGGCGTGAAAAATAATTTTGCTCTGTATTGGAGATGAAAAAACAAATCCAAACGCCGATGAATATGATCGCGTCCGTTTGGAGCCGCAACCACCGTCTCCTGACAAGAATGTGAATGGCTGGCGTGAAAAATAATTTTGCTCTGTATTGGAGATTAAAAAAACAAATCCAAGCGCCGATGAATATGATCGCATCCGTTTTGGAGCCGCAACCACCGTCCCCTGACAAGAATGTGAATGACCATCTTGCTCATGTTTTCTTTTTTTTAGTCATCAAAATGAAGGACTTATGTCTTCATGTGCCAACAATGAGGGTATTTCCATAAGGGCTCTCGAAAACGATGAGTGACTCATGCTGAGATCATAATAGTGTGCTTAGGTGCGTTAAATTGCACACTACATCTTCAAGAGGGGTGGTCCTGGGTATTTATCTTCCCAGAGAGATTCCAAAAGCTTCGACTTCACGTCAACTGACCGTGACTGACCATGTTGACCTCCTAAGATAATGTGCAATGTTCGGTCAAAATCGGTGTGGAAGTCACGTGAGGAAGACGTCGACTTTATCCCTCGAAGTGTCCTTTGAGTGGCATCGCAAGATCTGTTCGTGGGGGGGACAGCCCATAGGCTTCAGTCAGCGGTCAGCCACGTTTTGAAGCCTCAGGAATTCCTGTTTCCCAGAAACCCCACATGGCATGTGACTGAGAAAAGCCAATTAAGTGAAGTGAGGCGAAATGAAATTTGCCCGGCTTCAGGCATGCGCTGTTTTACGGGTGACGGAGGATCTGATCTATGCAAATTAATTTAGTCACCATTGACAAATTGGACTTTTCAGCACACGTGGCAATCGGCAAATTTCATCCGAGTCCTCCCGGATATACAAAACGAATAAAAAAAGGAGTCCGGCTCGTTTCTTTTTCACCCGCTCATTGTAAGCTTGCAGAAAAATGATGCCTGCTCAAAACGGCAACACTGTAGTGCTCCCAAAACATGAGCCGCACACGCACACACACACACGACAGCTAATCAATGTTGAAAATTAACAGGTGGTCAACTCCGTTATGAAAATCACCCACTCATAAATTTCAATGTCTATCCAAGACCATTACTGGGAGCTCTGAATGCGGTAATCAGCCTTGTACACGTGAGCAATGACAAGACAGTCCTGAAGAAAAGCCCGGACCGCCGTTCACATTTGCTCTCTTACCAAGATACTCTCTGTTCCGTTACTTTTGGAGAATATCACTCCCATTTTTCATTTGTATGACAAGAGTCGAATTTTTGGTTGGCTGTGCGTTCATCGGCGACAGAAAAAAAAAAAAAAAAGTGGGCATAATGATGAAGGGTTTTGT